GATTACACTGAAGAAGTTCCATGTCATGATTGTCAAATTGTTGGATTTCTTTCACCTTCTGTTCCATTTTTTTTTTTGGAATCCTCAAATCTTCTTCTGGGCTTCAGCTTTAGCCTGTTGAGAAGTTCCCTGCTTCTGACTACACATAGGATGGTTTTGCCAGGCACAGAAAGCTTCTCTCTTCCAATCAAGAATGACTGATCTCAGCGTTGTTTTCATCAAACCAGTCCCAATGGGGTCAGGTGATAAAGTCAAATCGATTTTGTTTTAGCTTTATGGACAGTCTCCTTTAGAACTTACCAATCTTCCTTGACATGTGTTATCATTTTCAATCCTAAAATGGGCGAGTTTCTTGCCGAGATAAGTTTGGAAGGCTTTGCAGTGTCTAGGGGCCTGAAGGCATTTGAAGTTGTACCATATTCAGACTGATTTGGGTTGCTTTCAATGTTTCAATACAACCCTAATAGATGCAGTTGATCTAAGCAATGATCAGTCCAGCAGTCATTGGCTTCTCTCATAACACATGCGATATGAACGGGCAGGCAGCCAACCCTTTTATGTACTCAGTATAAAAGAGGGTTGGCTGCTGGTCCGCAGTATGCTGGTCACTTCCAGTCCAGTTTGCTGGTCCGCGGTCACTTCCGGTCTGGTGGCCAACCATTCGTGGCCTGGTAGCAGGCCACAGCCTGGGGGTTGGGGACCCCTGTTTTAGATCACACATTCTTACGATGACATAGTCAAGCAGATTCCATTGCTTCAAGCAGGGGTATTGCCATGTTGTTTTGTATCCATCACGTTGTCTGAAGATAGTGTTAGTAATGACAAAAGTCATGCTCTGCATATTTACTGAGTAAGAGGATGCCATTGGAAATCACCTTGCCCACCCCTTCCTTCCCCATGGTGCCCCTGCACATGTTAACGTCCCAGCTGACTCTTGCATAGAAATCTCCAAGGAGAATGATTGTATCCTCTTTCAGGATGATAGGATTTCATCAAGGTCAGCATAAAACTGTTGTCTCTGTTCTCTCTCAGCAAGAAGTGCTGGGGCAGTTGCACTGATGACATTGCCCTCAACTGACCAACAACTTGTTTGCTGAGTCATGAGGCACTCGTTACTGCCAACAGGAGATTTGGTCATTCAGCTGATAATTTGGTTCTTAATGGCAAAACTAATGCTATATATTCCCACTGTTTGCAAGTTTCCCTCTCCAAAAGAATGAATAGCCACCCCTCTCCTCCCTCACATGGCTTTCATCTGCATGTTTGGTCTTGCTGAAAGCAGCAATATCAAATGTCATCACCCGAGAACTCTTGCAATACAATGGCTGTTCTACATCCAGGTCTATCACTGCTTGGGTCATCATCCAGTAGGGTTCGTACATTCCAGGACACAAAGGACATTTGCATTTCAATTGTAATTTGAGCAATCCACCTGGAAGCAGCTATCCAATTGGGTAAAATAAAGCGACACGGCCTGTTTGGGGCGAGCAGAGGGGATCCTAAGGACTGCTCACGTCACAATCATAGCTACTAAATCACCCTCCTGTCCAATTCCAAGGATGAAGCGACCAACAGGTAACCACCACCTGCATGTGGATCTGTGACCAGGGACTCTAGGCAATCACTTCATCTGTCCCTGTTCCCGCTCCTCCACTGCCTCAGGACTTGGTAGAGGTTATGGGTATTGATGATTGGTTATTGTTGGATCCAGTGGGAGAAGCCTGTGCATGACTTGTTTTATGTGAAAAGGCCGTTACTCATCAGCAGCCACATGGATCTTCACAGAGAAGCTTGTATCCAGTGGCAAAGATAACCTGTACCCCTCTCCATGGACTGCCACCTTGATGAGGTAAAGAAGTACTGATGACCCCAAAAGCAACATGGCTGGGAGTCTTGTACTCCTGGTAGGGCCAAAGGTGAGGTATCATATAACAAGCAGTCCAGCACTACAAAGACCTCAATGATGGAGCAGATGGATGAAGAAGGCATACTTCTCACCGGCTGCAAAGACAAACGAAGGCCAGTGGAAGAGTAACCCCAGTCATCTTGGATTTGTACTCTACCAGTTGCCTTAGGGCAGCAATTATAAAATGGAACTTTCTAACTCTCATACACCAAAATAAAATTTTAAAAGATATTAGGAAATGCCATCAATGGCAGCAGTCCCTCAATGTGAGGCTGACAATGGGGAAATAGGAATATTCTGAAGACCAACATGCACCATTAAAAAGGAAAACTCTTGTCATTTTATATAGCACTTGCTCTGTCATTACACAGTACAGCAGTTCCACAAACCACTTCCCAATGACTCATCACCACAGTTTAGGATCTCACTGGGCTATACTCCCTGTTCCCATTCAGTTACAACTGTGATTAAAACAAACAAACAGACCAACCACAAGTTCTCTGATAAAACCCCGAAATCTGTAATTAAAATGAAAGGCCCCCCACAGCTTTCCCCCCCCCTCCCCGCTGGTGCCTCTCACTTCCTCCACAACACCCCCCAGCTCTACTGGTGAACGTCATTCTTGTCCCCCTCACACAGGTGCCCCTCTCACCCCACAGCCTCCCAGCCCTGGTTGTGCCCCTTGCCCATCACCCACAGATGCCATGCCCTTGCCATCAGCCCTGCCAGAGGGGGCCACCAGCTGCCAGGGTTACAGGGCCAGGGACCCAGGTCCCCAACAGAAGGCAGCTGCTGCAGGAGCAGGGAGCCAGCTCCCTGCCCTGCTGTGAGCGGAGGCGCAAGTGGGACCGGCTCCTGGCCAAAGCACACCCTCCCAGGGGGCAGAGGGAACCCATGCCCCCAGATCTGTGCAGGGGCAGGGGCGTGCTGCAGGCTTGTGCTCCCCACCCTGCTACCCTCACCCAGGGCCTCCACAGTGCAGCATGTGTGGCCTGGCATGGCAGGGCACAACGGGGACGTGCAGGAAAGCTGCTTGCCCCTGCAAGCTCCATGCTGCCCCAGCAACACTTCCCTTGTGTGCATGGGAGGCAGCGGGGGTGCTCACTTCCCCGTGAGCAGAGGAAGTCCAGGGGACATAGGTCTCCCCTGCCCCACAGGAGTGCATGCTGTGGCAGGGAGCTGGCCCCATCCCTTGCCCCCAAACAAGCTACCCGTGGCCTCGTCCTGTTCCACGCCCAGGCTCCGAGGCCACACATTGCAGCCCTGGGCCCTAAGCTCTACAAACTGCCCAGCATGGCAACATCCCCAGCTCTAGTCCCAGCCCTGCCCAACTCCCTCCCTATGGGAGCCTCACCTTACTTATTTGCACTTACCCACCTCACTTACCTGCAGCAGCTGCTGTCTGGCTGCCTGGGGCCATGTGCATGTACATGCACACAGCACCCCCTGCCTGACCGCCCTGCTCCTGCTCCCCCCAGCTGGCTGGAACTGTGCCAGCCTGCAGAGGGCTTGCTGCAAAACTACAAAATCCGTGGGTTTCTCTGCTAAAATGAGAAGTACACATTTTACTCTAGTAAGGGGGGGAAAATCTGTGGTTTACTTCATTTTTCTGCAGGGAAATGGAAAATCCAGATCCCTGATCATGACAGCTGATAGTGGTCCACTGATCTAAAAAGTTTAAGAACTACAAGCTGGACCCAGTATCAAATCAGAAACACACAAAAAAACAAAGGCACTTTGCCCTGAAATATTATCAGATTCTCCAGAAAGCACTGAGGTTTGCTCAGAAATAACACTTTTTCTACTTTTGGGAGCAGGAAGACTCATTTTGCACAAAACCTATTTTGCTAAAATCAAAACAAACATGATTAGTCTCTGATGTACTTTCTGATCTAGCCATCAGTTACTACGATTCTAACGGTCTTCCCGAGGGAAAGAAATAAATCATGAAAAAGTCACAGCCCGGCATCTTTCCCTTGTTCAAAATATTTTACAAGCATGGGGGTAAGGGGAGTTTACTGTAGATTGCAGAGAATGGTAGAAACAGATGAAAACAAATCTACTACTGGCATGTCCTCACTTAAAAACTATCCAGGGTAAAGGACCCAGGAAAAGATGCATTATTTTCAGTCCAGCGCAGGTCTCACCGATAATGTAATTGGATTATATTATTTCCTTGGTATAGAAAAAGCCTAAGCTTTGTTAGGACCTACTGATTTACAGTTTTAACATCAAAACTGCTTAAGTACCAGAGGCATAAAAACTGAAGTGCCCCAATATCATCATATATTTATGCCAAAATTCCTTGCAAACTATTAATCTCATTTTACAATGCAGAACTGAGGTATAGAGGAATTAAGTGATTTGTACCAGGTCCTGCAGGAAGTTTGAAGCAAACCAAAGAATTAAACACGGGTCTGCGAAGTCCCAGTTAATTCCCCAAAGTAAAACTCATGACATACAGCGGCAGTTATCTGCAGGGTCTAAAAATGTATTGAAAAGCATTCTGTTCCAACTTCCAATTTTAAATCAAAGCAGTTTGAAAAAAATTGAATTAATTTAAATCCTACTCTGGACAGAAGCCATACACCATCACATTTCCCTGCAGTAATTTTGTAGAAGAGAGTTCCCTAAACCACTCATTAAAAACACCAGGATCACTGGATGCAAGAATAGAAGATGAACAAGAGAACTATCCATGTTGTCCGTGTGCCTTTTGCATCCACCTCAAGCCCTTTTCTATTAGGTAAGACTCCAGGAGATCAAGCCACATAAGTATTATGCTTCACTCTCTAATCTAAAGCTACTCCACGGCACCGGAAAACTAGTCTGTTGGTTTACACTTTGCTTTCTCTGGCTACAGAGACAGTTGTTTTTCAAGTTGTAAAGATCATAAATAATGATGCTGCATTTAATCTGAATATACCAGTATTTGGCATTGCCACCTTAATCTTTCTTGTCTGAAATACAGCAGCTTCTGACGGTCTTTCCTAGGACAGCAGATCACCACTAAAGGAGTTAGGCATAGATTTGCTTTAAAAAAAACCCTGTTAAATATAACAATCCAGTAAGAAAGATTCAAGTAACACCATCATAGCTTAAACACAAATAAAAGTTGCATTTATTTTACAAAATTTTAGCACACAAAAAGTTACTATCAAATGTAAAGAAATTTGACAGCTCTCTTACTTGTAGCTTTACAACAAATGGCTCCTTACTCTTCCTCAAAAAAATAAAGACACTTTAGTTGGGCAAAAACAAGGTATGATACTAAAAAAAAACAAAAAACCACCCCCTAAAAGTCCTTTTAAATAATGTCCACTGATGTTATTTCTTAGCATAAGTGATTTTCATGGCATGGGATGGAGTGATCTTGAACCCCTGGAGAGCATCACGAGCAGCTCCGGCCTGTCCCTCATTTTCAAACTCCACAAATGCAATGTCATGTCTCCCAGGCACTAAGCGTACTTCTTTGAAGCCAGGAAACCTTTTGAAGAAAACAAAAACAAACAAACAAACACACACACACACACACAAAAAACCAAATCAGTAAAAGAACATTCACTATGCCTGACAGGAAGTCTCCCAGCTAGGTGCTAAAATTTATTATAAAAGCTCACTAAAACAACAGTCAACCAATAGGAACAAAAATACTGCAGTAGTTCTCATCTGAGAAGTGAGAAGTTATGTGAAGGAAGTTGCTGAAAGTTAAATAATCAAAAGCTTCTCACACTGCAGTTGTCATGTCTGTAGTATGAAGCTGCAGGGTCATTTCTCTATTGGGGGTGAATATTTGCAAAGAATTACTGAGCAAACAAAATTCATCAGATGGCAATTCCATTTGAGAATCCTCTCCCCATGAAACCTGAAGTTTGGGAGGGGTGCTTTCCTCTCCAACACTTCCAGCTTTGGATATAACACAAACCTTCCATTTGCTTTCTAGGCAGTTTTGGCAGGGACCAAGCAAGGGAGACTCCACTGAAATCCAAGGATTTGAGATGCTTTCTGCCTAAAGCAGAAAACTGTTGCATCACTTCTGTAGTAGATTATAGCCCTATTTAGGTGCTTATAGCTTTAGTAGTTATCCTTGAATTTCGTAAACTTTCCAAATTCAGTTTCAACCCCAAGATGAATTTGAACACCTGGAACAAATTCATGCAGCTGTTAATATTTTTTTAAATGTGAGAAAGTTTCAGGGGTAGGGGAAAAGAGTTACTGAACAGAAAAAGTGTCTGATTGTAGATCATTTAAACTAGTGTATGACAGAATTAGGGACACATCTTCTGCCTACTCTTAGCTGAGCCAGAATTATGCTTTTTTTAAAAAGCAAACAAACCCCCCTAAGTGCCTAGCAAAGGAAAAGTAACCTGACTAATAGAAACGCATTAGCCTCAGTTTGCAGAGGGAGCCTAGAAGTACCCCAAGATGCATTTTCCCCATTTTTTTCAATGAGTGAAGCCTCAAAATGCCATGATGATAGATTAAAATGTGACACATAGTATTCACTGCTCATGTTTAAACCATGTTTAAAAAGCAGCAGTAATATATGAAACAGTTTGCCTCATATCCAAAGCTATATATTTCAGAGGTCAAACAAAGGATTAACCAGGGTATGAGATGCATATTATAAGAAAAGGAAGCCTTTTATTGGGGGGTAGTAGGGATGGGACACTACAAGCAGCAGCTCAGTTTTCAAAGCTTGTGAAAATAAAGCTCTAGGTCACACCACATTTCACATCCCTTGCCCTAAGAACTGTATCTAAAGTAAAAAAAAAAAAAAAGCCAAAACAATCTAAGAGTTTAACTGGATCTCTGCAAAGTAATTAGTCAGAGTTCTAAAACTTCCTGCAATTGTGAAATCTTTCATCTTCAAGCAGTGCCGTAAACTTAAGCAGTGCCTATACAATAAAAATGATCCACTGTATGTATATTTTTGTCATATTAGAACAAAAATGTCCATGTTTAGAGAGTCATTTTCCCATATCTCCTTTACTTACCAACTGATTATTATAAAAACTTGATATTGAGTCAGGTTTTATTTATTTAGATGCCCCCCATATTGTGAAGCCCTAAACAGTAGCTTAAGCCTAAATCCAGCACTATCTTCAAGTCATCAACTTCAATTCATCACCAGGTAACTGAGTGTCATCTAATGGCTATAAACAACGTATATGAAATTAACTATTTCACAATGGCACATGGCCAAGTCAAACCCATCAAAGTTAACTTTAGTTTAAACAGCATGGCCAAGCACTGAACAGACCTATCCCCCTATCCCCAGCTACTGCCTAACGTACTGAGAAAAAATGTGCGTTTGTAAATGCAATGTGAAGTGGTGAAGGGAACGTTGTTTTCTATACATGACTTACTGATTAAACAGCATGGATAGCATCATCTCATTTGTCTCCTCGGGCAAGTTATTAAGGAAGAGTATATAGTTTGGTGGATTATCAGGCACCTGGAAAAAACAAAAAAAATTAGAGCATATACAATTAAAATAGATGGCTGCTACTGACCTCCGACTTGCAACATCTGTTAGAATTAAAGAGCTAATGAACTTTTACTGTTCTTCAAAATACCTCCAGTTACTTCTTGGTTGAACTACATAGTTCATTTAGTATGCATTTTTAATTGGTTGGTTTGCTTCGCTATTAGTACATCTTTAAGATATACAGTCATTTCCAGGAACATGACTATTTCCAAGCCATTCATTCTAAATATGTAGATATTCCAAATTTAAAACAAATATCTAAACACAAAGTCAACTGACAGTAGCCCAGTACTCTAGACCAGTGGTTCTCAACTTTTTTTGTACCAGGACCCATTTGTAAATATTAGCCAGTCCCAATCCAGTGCCCCTCACCCAGTGCCCCCAACCCAGTGTCTCAGTGTATGGGGCACGGAGGCTCCCAAGCAGACCTTCACAGGGAAAAGCCACAGTTTCCCACGTTTTTCTCCTTTAACGGAGAATCCATTTTTAAAAGTTTGTTTGCGACCCTTTCATATTTACTTGCGACATGCTTCTGGGTCACAACCCATGGGTTGAGAAATGCTGCTCTAGACCACTTGGGGGCAACCTTTTTGCCAGGCATACAAAATTAGCCCCATAACTCCAAGTGGCACTTTGATCCCTTTCCTCTCCCCAACCTCCGGCTCTTTCTACTCTTTACTCAGTGCACCCTGTCCAGTCTCCTCTGCTTTCCACTTCCTGCCCTGTGCTTCTTGCTTGATCTGCTGTTTTCTGCTCCCTGCCCTACCTGCTGCTGTGTGGTCTGCCCCCTCTGTCATCTGACACATGCCACTTATGGCACTCATACCACAGTCTGGTGACCCTTGCTTTACACTAAATTGTCGTCATGTCAAAAAAATAACTTTAAGTAATTGAGGGGGGCGACGGGGGGCGGGGGGTGCTCAACATTTTCCAGACAAAGCAAATAGTTTAACTTTTTCTTGGCCATGCTGCATATGATATATAAAAATAATCCTCAATAGTAGATAGCAATTCTCAAAACCTAAATCCCATTCTCAATCCCTACATCTGACAGAAGAACTTGCTTGCGATGACAGACTTTTTGGCCTCTCTAGATTCTCAGCCTGACAGACCTACTCACCTTCTAATCATGAGTTAGAACTATTTGGACTAAACTGTTTAGGGTTATTCTCAAGGTCACTTAGCAGCTGAGAATAATGAAGATAATATAACCCCAGAACATAAAATTCAGAAAGTGTACAAAACATGCAATCTGTTGGGTCAACTGCAACAAAGGTTATTTCCTCCACCATCTGCTGTCCACCAAATTTTAAGCCACTTGTATTAGTTAAAACTAAAACATACAATGTAACTCCAATAATAAACCTATCACATTTATTTGATTCCAAAACAAGTTTCTCCCAACTCACCCCCCTCCTCAAATTTAACATGGGGGGAGCCCCTTATCTTGGAATAGAGTATGAGGCAGCAGGCCACGAGCCCCAGCCCCAGGTCAGAGCTGCTCTTGTTGCCCAGCCTCCCTTACGCACTCTGCACACCCTGCTTCTCCCGGTCAGCCTTGGCCCCAGCCCCATTCCTTTATTGCCTCCCTAACTGACCTCCACTACCTGCTCTGCTACCACTGTTTTCCCCATGCCAGGGTTGGTGAGGACCAATTTAAGACTGCCCTCCAATAGTTAGATTCTATACATGGAAAATTACCAAGAAATTTTCTACATATAGAATCTAATAACTGAGGGGGAGTTGTATTGAATTCATATAAATACTGTATGTTAGTACAGTTTAGTATTAGTATCCCAGAAGAAATGCTACCAAAAGTGGGGAAAACTATGTATAGTACATACAGTCTGAAATATTAGTTAATTTTTTTTGTTTTATTTTGCCTCTTTTCTTTGATAAGGAAAAGTTTCAAAAATTACCTGCTGGTTCTGTGATGAAGTCCCTTGGACATTTGTTGAGTTCTGTGTTGTTCCCTACAAAATTAAACATTAGTGAAAGAATACTGTTTTACCAAAATTCAACACTTATCTTTTTTTCTTATTGAAAGCTATGCGAAATATCTGAACATCGGCTCAGATCTCTTGATATCTGAGACAGCATTACAATGGCAAGGGGGGTGGGGGGGCAGGGTCCAAACATTAGTCATGGTTTGTGGAACACTCGCTGGAAGCAAATAGGAAGCTGCTTGGTTAAAAAAGCCAAGCAACCTACCCATAAGCAAACTGTTGGGAAACAGCTACTGGTCAGGTCATAGTGAATCTGAATGTTAGGGTCAGCATATTTAAAAAATAAATAAAAATCAGTATTTACTCTCTCACTGTATTTTATTAGCTTCCTGGAAAACTGGTGTGCATTTTAAGGATCACAATTTTAAGGCAGCATTAAATGCTTTGTATCCGAGTTACAGACAAATTCAAATACTCCCCCAAAAAACTTGCAAATACAGATTTGAATTCTTTAAATGCCTCTCCTTTCTTTTAAACCAAAGTAACTATAGCTCTATTTACCAAGTCTCGCACATATGAAGCAGAAACAGCTTTAGTTTTTCCCAGTGGACCTTGGTACAGAAGTTCTCACACTTGTTAATGTAGACCACATCTTAAAGGAGAGGTCTTGTGTTTCAAACCCATTCCCACTTACCATATCACATCATTGGGACATGTCACCATTTTTACACATGGATGTATAGTATTGTGAAGGCATTTAGGCACTTTTAAAGCTGACATCAATGATAAGGAAGCAGTGTCTGCAAAAATTCTATGCTTTCTACTTCTATTCATTGCTCCTGCCCCTCACACAGTTTCTCTCAACTGGAAACAATGGCAAATTGCACTGTATGGTCAACCACCTGTCCCAAAGCTGCCAGGGAGTACTCTATAATGATCAGCAGTCTGCACACCTTAAGCTAAAGACTGGTGTCTTTAAAAAGTCTCT